TGGAGGCCTGCCCACTGGTCCTGAGGACCCACTGGTCCCTGCCACTGTCTTCAGAGTTTATCTTGTCCTTTCAAGTGCCTGCGGCCAAGGAACAGAGAATCTGAAGTTCTGGATGTGTGGGGCTCCATCCGTTCCAGCTTTTGGGGCAGACTTAATGCTATACTTCCCTCTGCTGAAGAAATCTCCACTATCACAGAAAGAGACTGGCCAAAACCTAGTTTTTACTCTTCATTATAGCCAGATACCCAGAAATGATACTCCTGCAGGCAGGTACCTGCCTGTTGTTGTGTTGTTATGTGCCATTGAGTCGAACCCAACTCCTAGCAACCCCTCCTTGGGTTTCCGAGGCAGTATCACTCCGGAAGTACATTGCCCCATCTTCCTTCTGAGGACTGGCTGGTGGGTTTGAACCACCTGCCTTCTGGTTAGTAGTCAAGTGCCTTAGGCACTACGCTACCAGAGCTCCCAGGTACCGGCCTAACAGCTCACAAATCATTATAGCCTCAGAAAGTAATTTGTAAATCTTAAAATCTTATGTATGCCTAGGATCACCTGGGGGATCTTATTAAATGTAGATTTTGACCCAGTGTATCTGGGGTAGAAATGTCATTTCTTAGCAGGGGGTTAAACTGGAGTGAACCAGTTCGAAGCCCTGACTAGAGATTGGACCCTACCTCCCACCACCACCACCAATATTTGGCTTTACTCCCTCCTCAGTCTCTTGTACCCATGGTGTCCTTGCCTCTCCTTTTCAGTTGCAGGTACTTCACTCTGAAATAAAGGCATTTGAGACCTGTGGGAATCTCTAGTAGCACTACAGCTTTGAGACTGGTCAAGAAAACTGAGCAAAGAATGAATTCCAAAGATAGAGTATTGCTTTGTTTCTGTCTTTTATCTGGCCTCAGGGCCTGTAAGGCAGGTTTCTGCTAGTTTCAACGCTGAGCTGCTCCCTTTCCTCCAAGCCGGCTGCAAAGCAATCTGGGAGAATGGAAAACAGATTAAATTAATCTCAGTGTGCTGAGCTTGGTGAGGGGTGAGGCTGTGTTTGGTCATTCCGGAAATAGCCCAAACTTCTTTGTTACTAAAATAGATGATGAGGTATTGGCCTGCGGGATGACTGTAAAGCACAATAACTGCAAGCCTTTGTATTTTCATACAACATTCTCCTCTTCTTGGATTCGGTTTCTTCTGTAACCTGCCCATGTTATAATGGAGAGTTAGGGTTGCTAATGTGGTCAGAAGGTTTAGTTTGATCTCTCTCTTAATAAGATTTTTCTCCCCCATCTTAGATTCCAAGTTTTTGCTTCCCAAAGTTAAGCATTGATTCAGTAGCCTTTGAGGTGGTGACTGTGTTTCTTCACTAGTATGTTTGGCATGGGGAAAGAACCTGACCTCAAGAATTATCCCATCTTGCAGCATAAAGTAATAGGCACAGATCTGAGAGACAGGAGGAAGAGGCCGAGGCAGGAAGAAGTGGAGTAGAACAAAGATGACAGAAATCCCATAAAAGGAAACCAAGTTATCAGAAACTGTTGGGTGATGTACATTGGGGGGAGGTGGGAATGATCCCAGAATTCAGAGGAGAATGGATTGATTCCATAGAACTGTTACAAACCTCACTATTAGAAACTTAGACAAGAGTCACTCATCCCCTCTGCCTATGCTGTCAGGCAGGGACATGACTGTTTAAAATAAACAAAAGACACATCATAGCCAAATCCCTTGGATGACTACACCTGATATGTGAAGTTTCCTATTGACTGGGTATCCAATATTAATATTGACTTTATTGACTTTAAAAGATAAAGGAGCTCTGTGGTGTGGCGCCTAAGGCATTTGACTGCTAACCAGAAGGCTGGCGGTTTGAACCCACCAGCCACTCCTCGGAAAGAAGATTGGGCAATCTACTTCCATAGAGATACTGCCTTGGAAACCCAAGGAGAGGTTGCTATGAGTCAGGCTCGACGTCAGTGAATTTGGGTTTTGTTTTGCTTTGTTTTTCCCCTTGGTTTAAAAGATATGGGCAAAGAAAACCTAGGATGATGAACTTTGTAACCTTTTAAGAAATAGTTAAAAGAACAGACGGGTTGGCTTAGAGATGTATTGGGGTCATTAGTGATGTTTTTCATGACACCAAGAGCAGCATCTACCATTTTCTGAGCACTTCCTAAGGTGTGTTAGCACTGCGCTGCTATGCATGATCTCAGTTAGTCCTCACAGCAACACTATAAGGTGAGTATTGCTAATATCCTTATCTTCTAGGCAGTGAAACTAAGGCTCAGAGAGGAGGGGTGGTGACTTGACCAGGTTCTCTGAGTGATGGAGATCAGGCTTTAAGTTGGTCTCAGCCAGCCTGTTTTTGACCATTATACCAATCTGAATTAGCCTTGTCCATGAGGTCTTAGATAGCAAAACCAAGCAAGTAGGCAGATAGTTACAGGAAGATAGATTTTTGGCTTATTAAAGGAAGAATTTTTTTTACTTGAGCTGCCCAAGGTGGAAATAAAATACTTCAGGACTCACGTGTGGTCGGTTCCTTTGTTACTAGAGGCATTCCTGCAACAAAGGCTAGGAAATCATTGGGTAGGGGTATTATAGAGAAGGTTCAAGCATTGGAGAAGGGGTTGAATCATGTGATTTCCAGTCATGTGATTCTGTAATCCACAGTTCACTAGGTTAATCAGAAATAGTTTACTAAGCTCTGATTAGGAAGAAATAGCCATCTAAAAATAAAATTTGAACTTACACAAATTTTGTAATTTTAACATTTATTCATTTTAAATAAAATATTTGCATATTTAAGATATTTAAAAGTAAAAGCAGAGAAAATATAATTGTGTGAATGCAGACTTAAATATTTAAAACACAAAAACAAATACAATTTGAGTATGTAATAGAAACATTTTGATTATGTAATTAACTCAGTCCTCCCGGTTATTCATGGATTGTAAATGAAAGATATTTTTTCAGTTCCGAAACACCTTTATAATTTCAAAAGAATAGTTCCAAAAAGGGGGGTGGAATGGGTTTTGCAGGATTCTCCATCTCTCCAGAAAAGCTAAAGCTGTTTCTAATTTTTTTTCAAATGAATATAGGCACTTAAGGGAATTTTGCTAACTTGCTGGTGTGACTGTTTTAAATAAAAGCTAAATAAAACAACAACAACAAAATCCCATCAATCACATCTCCTCGATGACTCCTGCTTAAAAAAAAGATTTGTCCTAGCTGATGAAGCATTAGGGCTGCCAGTAAGAAAAAAAATGGGGGGGAAAAAAGGGGGGCCCAAAACCGGTTGTAATCCAATTATAAATCCTAAACAGCTTTGTCGTACTGTGGTGGCTTGCATGATGCTGGGAGCAGCCCCCTATAATGGAGGTTTCAGCAGAGCTTCCAAACTTAAGACTAGGAAGAAAGGCCTGGCAATCTACTTCCTTAAAGTAGCCAATAAAAACTTTATAGATCACAACAGGGAATTGTCCATCTTCCACGTCATCAGGAAGGATCAGTAACTGGAAGAAGACATCATGTTTGGGTAAAGCAGGTGGCCAGCAAGGGCCAGGACACCCTCACTGAGATGGATTGGCACAATAGCCACAACAGTGGACTTGAACATGCCAGTGATTGGGAGGGTGACGCAGGACCAGCCTGCATTTCATTCTGTTGTACTTATGTCACCTGGAATCTGTCGATTCAACAGCAGCTATCTATTTCACATGGCTCTTTTCTGATTTCTCCATGTTATATAATTAGACAACATGAATTCCTGTTCCATGGTGGTCTTTTGGATCTTTAATGTGAAATAAGAGTATATTTATGTAAAAGTTGTGCAAAAATTACTTCAGTAACAAATATACTAAAATAGTTTTAAACAAATAAATATACATACATATGCACGTATATGTGTATGTATATTTATATGTCACACTCCACACTGGTTTATGCTAATGTTCATGGCTTGTTGCAGTTAAGAAATAGCCTTTTCTTTCTTTCTTTCTTTTTTAGGAAGTTCCAAGTTATAGGCAACCTCAGCTCACTGGGCAGTTGGTGGTGGTAGAAAATGGCTGGGGGAAGAAAGTGAGAGAATCACAAAATACATACAATGAGACAACTTATAAGGGGTAGAGAAGAGGAAGAGTGCTGTGAGGTGGTTCTGTATGTGCGAGGGTTTTTGGAGCACTCTGTTAGGTTTCTTAGAGGAAGGCTCTCGGGTCCATGGAGAAGGAGAACCTAGGCAAGCTTGTCCACAGAGGGGTGGAAGGAGGGAGTCTATGAATTGCTGGGCATCAGTAGCTAGGAACTGAGCAAGAAGTGTGATGGAGAGTTTGTGATCAGCAAAAACAGCTGAAGGTGTCAGCTCTACCTAGCAGCTTCCTGGTGGAGAAATAGAATACAAGGGTGCATTAATGCAGTGCCCCCAAATAACCAGTCTCTGAATTGTCAGATCTACATTACAGTCTTTATTTGGGGCTCAACCCCCAAGGTGTCCTTTGTCTTAACTTCTGGTGGCCAGTGCACTGACATTTCACTAGGCTCTTAAAATCCACCCCTTCCCCAGAAACTTCACAGAAAGTTCATTTAACCTTTCTCCCCCAGTCACACCCTAAAACCCTCACATAGTTTAGCTTTTTGTCCTCATTTTAGATGCCACCTTTGATACATTTTTCTCTTGAACTGACTGTTAACTTTCTTTGTGCAAATCAATATTGGCCAATGTCTTAATGCCTGGAAGGCAGAAATCTGGTCTGTTTAACCTGGTAGCACAGTTGGGAAATTAAGAAACACTTCACTGATTAGGGGGCGTTATTGGGGAGCTAATTACAGTTACACTGGGTGGTGTGCCCAGTGGAACTACCACTTTTAAATAGCTCCGTGAGGAAATGGACAGCATGGTGGACATTTGTTTGGCTCCATGGGAAAATACAGTCTTTGCTTTTCTTCTTCTGGCCTGGATGCTGGTTCTGATCTCCCTGTCTTGTGTTCTCCTCTTTTCCTTTGTACAGAGACAGGGCAGGGCATTGTTCATGCACTGACCGACCTCAGCAGCCCCGGCATGACCTCAGGGAACGGAAACTCTGCCTCCAGCATCACTGGCACTGCCCCCCAGAATGGTGAGAATAAACCACCACAGGCCATTGTGAAACCCCAAATCCTGACGCATGTTATCGAAGGGTTTGTGATCCAGGAGGGGGCGGAGCCTTTCCCGGTACGGACTACTTCTTTTCCCCTCTTTTTTTCTTTTTTTTTTTTTTAAGTATATTTTGGATGTATATTAGAATATTTTTACATTTCCATGCAAAATTTCTGAAAATGTGAACAATTTATTCTTCTCTGCTAATTTTCCCCCAAAGAACGTCAGAGTGATTGTCTTTGTGGGATTAAGTATCTTCCTAAAAATAGGGGAACATGATTGTTGCCTAATGCTGCTTCTCTGGGGACAGGACCTAGACATAGGAGTGAATGGGATTGAGAGGCACTGCAGAAAGGGCAAGATCAAGTGTTTCTAATTAAAGTATAAGACCAAAGAGAAATATGAAAGAATCGAGAAAATGGCTTAGTAGATCAAAGCATGTGGAGCTCTAGTGTGGATGGGCTTAGGACAGGTGGTACTGCTTTGCAGGTGTGGAGGAGCCCAGAGCCACATGCACTATCCTCTCTGCTGACAAAAATTATCTGGCTGTTAGAGACACACCATCTTCGTGGGATGCCATCTGCCTTTTGCTCATTCTTTGGATCCATAAGAGGTCTGAATAGTCGGCAGAAGGCTGAGCTTAAATAACTGAGATGAGTGAACTGCCCTTCTAAAATGTCAAAAGATGCATGAGTTCTTGTTCTCTTTTCTTCTGGAAGTTGTTCGGAGCCAGTGGCAGAGAAATCCACCTGGAGCACTTTGGCTGTAGTAACTCTAACTTTCCCTCATTAGACTAGATCTTCCTCTTGACCTCCTAGAGTGAAACCAGAAACCAACTGATCTCAGAGGGTGAATTGCAGATTGAATAGTGCTCTAGCGTCTCCCTGGGGTCTGATACCACACGATCTGGCCACCAGGCTGCCTGAACAAAGGCAACAAAGGGAAGACCAGATGTGTTTAAAAGCCAATCTGGAGTCCTAGCATCTGCAGAGGACATTTTATTCTGTGACCCAGAATCAGTTCTTCCTGTTCTCCTTGGTCTCCCTGTACCTCATTACTGAATGGGGCAGTGATACAGTGAATCACAGCAAGAAATCCAAATGTGGGTTCTGAGTCTCTTTCTCATAGATCCACTTACATACAGACTCAGCTGTGTCCCTGCCTGATGAGCACTGGGTCCTACACTTGATCTAGAGTGTGGGAAACTTGATCTCTGCTTCTACCTCTTAGACACTTGGAAGAGTAGGTAGTTTGCTAACCACCTAAGCCATACATCACTCCTGGGTTGAAGCCATCCCTGTTCTTAGGTACTCTCTGGCATTTTGTCTCAAGAGTTTAACAGCAAAACAGGGCCTCAAGTAGGCCCCACTTAGATGATGTGTGGGGAAGCTTTGAGGAGGGCTGGCACCTCTGCACCTGGATGCTTGATAACGTGTAATTTTGATGAGGTTGGATAGCAAGGAGACATCTCCCACCTAACCCTCATGACCTCCATGTCACCCTGTCCTCTAGGTGGGACGCTCGTCCCTGCTGGTGGGGAATCTCAAGAAGAAGTATGCACAGGGGTTCTTGCCTGAGAAACTTCCACAGCAGGATCATACCACCACCACTGACTCCGAGATGGAGGAGCCCTATCTGCAAGGTGGGCATCTTCAGGCCTTCTGACTTGGCTGCCAGTGCAACACCTGAACAGCAAGTAGGCACGGCTAGAAAGGCAGACCTTACAGAGTTTTTTCTTGGTATCCATGAAGGAACTCTTGAGCCAAGGAGTATGTAAATATAGCAGTCTGTGAACATTTCACCCTAGTCCCTTCTGAGCCCCAGTCCCCAGAAGACAGAAAATATAGCAGTCTGTGAACATTTCACCCTAGTCCCTTCTGAGCCCCAGTCCCCAGAAGACAGAGATGGGAGAGGTTAGGGGAGTCACTTGTCACCTACTTCTCCACAGTCTCTCCCCGCCTGCCAGTATAAGATTTCTAGAGCTGCCCTTGCTACACGGGTCACCGGCAAGTTTTCAGAATGAATGTAGGAGCAGCCCCAGGCAGGTGATGCCCTTCTTTGACTGCATTCAGGAATAGGGGCCAGGCAAGAGATTGCTCTTTGCAAATGAACCACTGACTAAATGGGGCTATATAGGATGCAGGTTTCCTAGGTTCTGTTTTCCAAGTCAGCAGTCAACTACATGGATCCAGGCAGGATAATTCCAGCTCAGCTGTGACAGCAGCAGAAGTGTTCCCTGTGAGCCTCCTGATTGTCTCATGGTCATAAAGAGGGGTACTGATTCTCTGTCTTCCGTGTTCTGCCTCAGGCTCATAGCACTTTTAAAAAGAAAATTGTCAAGTACCCAAGGAGATACACTTGGGTGCTTTCCAAAGGGAAGAGCAGCCTTTCCAGAGACTGACAAAAGCAAGTTGGCATTTTCCAAGCTAAACTGCTACTACCCATGGCACCCACTGTCACAGCCATGGGAACATGATGAGGAAGAGGCAGAACAGTAGGGAGGCACTTGGCAGGGCTGTCAGCCATATTTTGGGGGATTTCTCATTCTCCACACCCATCTTTTGCGTACCTTTCAGAATCCAAAGAGGAGGGTACTCCCCTCAAACTCAAGTGTGAGCTCTGTGGCCGGGTGGACTTTGCTTACAAGTTCAAGCGTTCCAAGCGCTTCTGTTCCATGGCTTGTGCAAAAAGGTGAGTAGTATCAGACCTACTGCTGGACTTAGTCCCTTTCTGCCCCTCACAGGATTGTACCTCTGTGTTCTGCGTCTGTGGCTTATCCAGCTTCCTGTTTCCTTGATCTGCCTGGAGGCAGCATCATGTTATTAACTCATCAAGTACTAGAAACCAGAACCCCTGAGACCAGGTCAGAAAGAGAGAGCAACACAGTCCAGGCAAAGCAGCTTTGGAGCTTGACTGGTCCTTCTGTGTCCCACTGGCACCCCTTCCCTTTTACTACCTTTGGCAGCTGCCATTGCCTTAGAGTAAGCCCCCCACTGGTAGCAGCTTTGCCCAGAGCCACTGCCCTAGTTACAGATGCTCCCTTTGTGAGCTTTCACCTCAGCTTAGAGGACTAAGATAATACTATCTTAGAATGACAATAAAAATGACTTTCATGGAGGTCCTGAGGTGGCGTCCTAGTAACAGACTGCACCAGATCCCTCTTTCAACAGAGATTTAGAGAAACTCATTGAAACAGATACAAATAATGATCCTGGAATTATGAACATCTAATGAGAAGATAAAGTATTAGATTGAGTGAAGACACAAAGGGAACTGCGGTCAGTGACTGGGGGAAAAAAAGTGAGCCAGGCCCGAAAAGAAGCCATTGCAAGACAAAGGAGTCAAGGAAGGGAAAGAAAAAAAAAGTCTTCAACATAACTTTGTGAGGCAGATATTATTATTTTACCCTTTATATAGGTGAGGAGCCTTGGTGGCACAGTGGTTAAACGTTCAGCTGCTAAGCAAAAAATCAGTAGTTTGAACTCACCAGTCACTCAGTGGGAAAAGATGAGGCAGTCTGCTTCTGTAAACATTTACAGCCTCAGAAACCCTATGAGGCAGTTCTATTCTGTTCTGCAGGGTTGCTATGAACTGGAACCAATTTGACAGCGATGGGTTTGGTGGCTGTACAGGTTAGGAAACTGAGGCACAAAGGATAAGTAATTGTGCCTAAGATTACATTGCTTATAAGTCAGATTTAGATTAATGGTGTTTAGACCTGTGTGGTCTTTGTACTGAGGCAGAAGAGACAAAAGAACTTGAAGCCCTGGATCCTCAAAAGGAAAAATTGCTCCTGTGTGTACTGAACCTTTCTGCCATGACTGGTTATTGAATGTGGAAGTACTCTATCCTCAGCCCTTGTTAGCTCGGGTTGTGCTGAAGATAGCTGGGGCACCTTTGTCAAGCTTTTCCCAAGCTATTCACCAGCAACAGCTGTATTGGCATAGGTAATAGTTACAGTAGACTAAGTCATCCATGAGTTCTTACCATGACCCTAGTTGTTGTGTCAAGTAGTTTCTATATATGATCTCATTTAATTGTCAGAGCATCTTCAGAAAGTGAGTGGTATTATCCCCAACTACAGATAAGGAAACTGAAGCTCAGAGGTTAAGTGACTTGCCTAAAGTCACACAGCTTGTAGTAAATGATGGTGTTAGGATATTAACCAAATAGATGGACTCAGTTTGTGCCAAATAGCTTAGCTGCTCTTACTCTGCTGTGGGCCCATAAACTCTACTGATTGCTCTCACTTCCCTTGTTCCCCTATCTCTTAACAGGTACAATGTGGGATGCACCAAAAGAGTGGGACTTTTCCACTCAGACCGGAGCAAGCTGCAGAAGGCAGGAGCCACAACCCACAACCGCCGTCGGGCCAGCAAAGCCAGTCTGCCAACGCTCACCAAGGATACCAAGAAGCAGGTGGGAGGGCTGGCAGAGCCTTCGGTGCCATTCTTAAAGGTCCTTACTAACTTCTAGATCCTTAACACGATCCTAGACACCTGTGTTCCTTTTCAGCTGCATGCCCTTTTCAGTGCTATGTACTCTGTCATGTTCTAGTTGTCATTGATCAGTCAGATCAAGCCTTCCCCGTTCCCTTTAATAGGTCTGCTTCATTTGGACCCTTGAATGCTTATGAGGTAACTTCCCATTTCAGTGGCCTCACCTCATGCTTCAGTTTGCCTCCATCCTTGACTTCTGGGGCCATGGAAAGGGGGGTCCCTTTGAATGGCCCCAGAAGAGACAGGCTGCTCAGGCTACCTCCTGTCTTACTACAGGGGACTAGATGAGAAGGCAGCCTATAACCTTGACTTTCCCACCTTTTTGACTCCTAGAACATTAGAGCAATGAGTTTTTAAAGGTCTCTACCAGAAACGTGGTATTCATTCATTAAATATTTTTAGCCCAGTTCTACGCCAGGAACTCTATTAGGCGCTAAGGCTTCAAGGACATAGTTTTGCCCTAAAGGAGCTCATACCTAATGTGATGCTTCATAACCTTTTACGTATTTGTTTTTGGTTGGTGGTGGTGGTAGAGGTGGTGGTGGTCATCAACTTCTGATGAAAGGTGTAGACCAGCATGTTCATTCATACACATGAAATTTTCCCTGCAATTTCAGGTGGTTTGTAGAGCCCTGGTTAAAAACCTCACATCTAGAAGAAAAGGTGGACATATATATAACCAGATAATTACAATACAGTATAGTACTGCGAGGGAGTAATCTGCTTATGGTCAGAAAGGAAATAGCACAGAGGGTGCGTTTTGATCTGGGAACTCAGAGATGCAGAGTACCAAGTAGAAAAGGGAGAAATCACCTGCCTTTGCCAACTTTTGCTATTGAAAATGGTTATTCCCATCATCCTGAAGAAAACCATTTCTCTCTCTTCCAGCCAACAGGCACCGTACCCCTTTCAGTTACTGCTGCATTGCAGCTAGCACACAGCCAGGAAGACTCCAGCCGTTGTTCTGATAACTCAAGCTATGAGGAACCCTTGTCACCCATCTCAGCCAGCTCATCTACCTCCCGCCGGCGACAAGGCCAGCGGGACCTGGAGCTCCCTGATATGCACATGCGGGACCTGGTGGGCATGGGACACCACTTTCTGCCAAGCGAGCCCACCAAATGGAACGTAGAAGATGTCTATGAGTTCATCCGCTCTCTGCCAGGTGAGGAAGTTCCATGCCTACTGGAATAGCAAGGAAGGAGAGGGAGTGAGAGACCTCGTTCCCTACCATCAGGAGGGATTTGGTAGTTGAGTTAATGACAGAAACTCAGATTCAGGAACTTGGGTGCAGAGATGACTGAGATGAGATTCTTGCCTGCAAGAATTTACATTCTAGCACAGAACACAAGCTGTAAGGACATTCTTCAGCAGCAGTTCACTATTTTTATTGGTATAGTGGTACAATAGTTAAGCACTCAGCTTAACTTAACAAAAAGTTGGCAGTTTGAACCCACCCGTGGCTCTGCGGGAGAAAGACCTGATGATAATCTTCTGTAAAGATCACAGCCTAGAAAACCCTGGGGGGCAGTTCTGCTCCGTCACACGGGGTCACTGTGAGTCGGAATTGGCTCCATGGCTCCCAGCAAGAATTGTGTGACATGCAGAGATGATGATACAATTGACCCTGCCTCTCAGGTGGAAGTGTGAGGTCGGTTAGGGAGAGAGACCAAAAAGAAAATTTGAACTGAGTGACAGTGAATACGTATAGGCCTTTTACAGTTAGAGAATCCACAAGACGAGCAGCTTGATCAGGGGGTGAAGATGTGAGAGTGTATGATACACTGAGAACTGCACATGACCCTCTGGTGGAGCACAGCAGGTCGTGAGGGCCAGGATCGAGAAATGAACCTCAAAAGGCAGGCAGGGACCAATGCTGAGAGCTTCTCTACTATTTGTTTCTGCTAGCTTCCCTTTCACTGACCAGGACAGGTATTGATGCAAACTACAGACCTCTGGAGTGAGAGATTATAGATAAAAGCACAGACTTCTGAGTCAGATGAACTGGACTCACATCCTGACCCTGCCACTAAAAGAGTATTTGTCATCTCTTGCTGATGGCTTAAAATAGCACTAATTGTTTGTCATTGCACAGTTTCTGTGGGTGAGGAATTCAGGAGTACGTAGCTCAGCTGTGCAGTTCAGGCTCAGGCAGTGGGGGCAGTGTCTCTTAACGAGGTTGCAGTTAAGATGTCAACAAGGACTGAGCTCATCTTTGGCAGTTGGGTCCACTCCCAGCGTGCTTCACATGATTCAAAAGTAGGGGCTAACTATTGGCCAAAGGCCTCAGAACCTCTCCACGTGGGCCTCTCCAGTTTAAATGTCCTACTGATAACGGCAGTTGGTTTTTGCCAGAGCAAGTGATCCAAGAGAGCAAGGCAGAGGCCACTGTGGCCTTTTGGTCTGCCCTTGGAAGTCATGTACTATCACTTCAACAATATTGTATTGGTCGCACAGGTCATCCCTGTCCATTGTGTGAGAGAACTTATAACAGCATGAATACTGGGAAGTAAGGATTATAGGGACCTGCCTTGGAGCCTGGCTACCATAGTTCACTACTGGCCCCCAATGATTTATGTCCCTCCTTCATGCAAAATACATTCATCCTCTACCAAGGCCCCCAAAGTCTCACCAGCATCAGCTTGAAATCGAGGATTTGGTCATCTTCACTCAGGTCCAGACACAGATGAGCCTTTTTGGATCCAGTTTCTTGAGTGTGGTTCTTCTCCTGTTGGAAGACCTGAGGACTAAGGAGACAAGTTACATGGTGGACAAGTGTAGATAACCATTATAGATATGCCCATGCAAAAAGGGAAAAAACAAGAAGTGTGCAGGAGGCACTAATCTGTACCAGTTCTGAAAACTAGCAGGACAGATGCTGGCATTTCTTTGATTAAGATTTAAAGCCCTCTTAGTCATCCTTTTCTGTGAACCAAAAAAAAACCTGTTGTCGTGGAGTCACTTCCAACCCATACCGACCCTCTAGACCAGAGTAGACTTGCCCCACAGAATTTCCTAGGTTGTAATCTTTACAAGAGGAGCTCTGGTAGCATGGTGCCTAAGGCACTTGACTGCTAACCAGAAGACTGGTGGTTCAAACCCACCAGCCGCTCCTTGGAAGGAAGGTTGGGCAGTCTACTTCCGTAGTGATAGTGTCTCGGAAACCCAAGGAGGGAGGGGTCGCTATGAGTTGGGTTTTACTCAACAGCACATAACAACAACAATCTTTACAAGAGCAGACCATCACATCTTTCTACCAAGGAGTAGCTGGTGGGTTCAAACTACCAACCTTTCAGTTAGCAGCCGAGCACTTAAACACTGCACTTTCCCAAATTTTCAGCCTAGTGGTTTTCCCAGCCTACTTCCTGCTTTTTATTTTGTTCTGCCTTTGACCCTTCATTTCAAGCTGGTAATGTTTTCTGCTAGTACGATTCTCTTTAAATCTCCCTAGGGAAGGTCCACTGTGAGTATTGTTGGGGTTCACTCCATTAGACAAAAACATACCCAAAATATGTCAAGATAAGCTTTGGGCTTCTGAGGCTAAGGGACAATGCCCTTAAGATTCTTGGAAGCCCTATTACTTACCGGTAGGAGCTGTGTGGCACACACGTAAAGGCATTGCCCCTTTGATGGAACGGTTTTCTGAAGCATCACGTTAGAACTTTCTGAGATCTTAACAAAAGACTTTAGTTACACCCTCAGTTTCCTCTTTTTGACCATGTTTTCTTTTGATGTTTCCCTAGAAACTATTTCTTAATTTTAGCATCATTTGCCATATGGAGGGGCTAGGAATTTCCAAAATGAGCATGTCCTAACTCCTTTGTTTCACAGTTTTCCTTTCACTTCTCTCCCTGTGCTCATTTTATTATGAGTAGCAGTAAGATCGGCTTGAAAATCGCCTTACCTTGGTCACTTAGTTTGTTGCTGCTGTCAGCTGCAGTCGAGTTACCCCGACCATGGCAACCCCATGACCATTGTGATCACGGAGCTTTCACTGGTAGATGTTCAGAAGTAGGCCTCCAGGCCTTTCTTGCTAGTCTGTCATCATCTGCAGCTCCACTGAAACGTGGTCAGCATCACAGCGACACAAGCCTCCGCTGACAGATGGGGGCTGGCTTGTGCTGCGGGGCACTCGGGTCATGAGTTAGAGTTTTCACTTACAGTGTTGCCACTAACAAACAAAAAACCAAACCAAGCTCAGTGCCATCAAGTCAATTCCAAGTCATAAGCACCCTCTTTGGTTTCCAAAGCTATAAATCTTTATGAAGCAGCGGAGCAACTGGTAGGTTTGAACCACCAACCTCTTGGTTAGCAGCCAAATCCCTGAACCACTGTACCACCAGAGCTCCTTACCACCAACAGCAGTGTTAAACCTTCCACAATTTCATGGCAAAAACTCCTTTTCATCCAATTTCTAGTAACATTTTCCTCACTTTGCTTTAATCTCTCAGCAGTTTCCTCAAAGGCCATCAGACTTCTACGTACATTATTCCTCAAGGCACTTTAAGCATTAATTAACACTGTCCTCAAAGTCCCCCCAGCTTCCTCCCACTGCTTGGTTCAAGGACATGCCCACATTTTTAGGGTTTTGTTATGGCAGCACCCTTCTTGAAGATAGAAAAATCTGTAGCATCTATTTCTGTTAAGCAAACAGCCCCAAAACTTAGTAGCTTAAAACCATGATCATTTGTTATTGGAAGAGTTTTGTGAGTCAGGAATTTGGAGAGCCTTGGCTGGGCAATTCTGGCTTGAGGGCTCTTAAGAGGTCTCAGTCCAGATGTCAGCCAGGACTGCAGCATCTGTAGGGTTTAGAGCTGGGTAATCCACATCTGAGGTGGCTCACTCATATGGTAAGTTGGGGCTGGCTGCCTGCAAGGAGGCCTTGGTTCCACCACAATGCAAAATCATTAAAAAAAAAAAAGACCAGGCTTACTGGTCTGATGAAGACTGGTCAAACTCCCAAGTCTGTGGCTCCTAGGCACCCTTCAGTCCTGGAACTGAACTCATTCCCATTGTTTCCAGCCAAACAGTAGACAGGCATATAAGGTGAATATTTGATTCTTACCCACATAGGTGTCTTCAGAGGCTTGAGTGTCCTCACAACATGGTGGCTGACTTCCTCTAAAATAAATGATCCAAAAGAGCCAGGTGGAAGCTTGTAGGCTCATGAGTTAGCCTTGGATGTCACGCTGTCACTTTCACAACATCCTTTTGGTCTCCCAAAAACCTACTGCCACTGAGTCAATTCTGACTCTTAGTGTCCTCATAGGACTGAGGAGAATGCCCCATAGGGTTTCCAAAGCTGTGAATCTTTACAGAAGCAGACGGCCTCATCTTTCTCCCATGGAGTTGCTGGTGGGTTCAAACTGCCAACCTTCTGTTAGCAGCTTAACCACTGTGAGCACTGGACCACTGTGCCACCAGGGCTCCATTGTTGGTCTCCCAAGTCAGCCTGACTCATTGTGGGGAGGGGTCAAAAGAGAGGGTGGGAAAAGGAGGCATGGGTTGGGGGGATGCATTTTGGAGTCTGGCTCCCTTGAGTCAGTCACTTGGCCTCTTTCAGGCTGTAAAATAAGAATAACAATACCTTTCTTGAGGTTAGCCAAGAGGTTTAAATGAGATAATGTATCTAAAGTACACTGACAGCCAAGGGTGATACTTAGTTTAACTGATACCATCTTTGGTGGTGTCACCCTCAGGCTGCCAGGAGATTGCAGAGGAATTCCGTGCCCAGGAGATTGATGGGCAAGCCCTGCTGCTACTCAAGGAGGACCACCTGATGAGTGCTATGAACATCAAGCTGGGGCCGGCCCTGAAGATCTATGCTCGAATCAGCATGCTCAAAGACTCCTAGGGCTGGCCAGGACCGCCAGGATTCTGGCCCAGGGCTCCGCCTCCTGACTGAGCAGAGCCGCACAGACATTCCTGAGAGGCCCAGAAATGGGGCTGTTTGGAGGGAAGGGGCTCTCTTGATGGGGCATGGCTGCGGGGAGGTCTTGGTGCTGCCCCAGTGGCTCTCAGGGGCCTTTCATTTATGTGGGAGGGGCATAGAGGTAGGTGGCGCAGAAGATGGGGCTTTATGCTTGTAAATATTGATAGCACTGGCTTCCTCCAAAGTCCCAATACTTTAGCCCCGCTCTCTTCCCCTCTCTCTGTCCCCCATTTTCAAGGGGGTATACAGTCAGGGCTCCCCAACCTGAGTTGGGTTACTCTTCCAAGGGCAGCCAGCAGGCCTGGATGGAGGCCTTGAAAGCCCTTGCCTGCCTTCCTCCCTCTTCTCTCTCTAGGCCTGGTTAACTCTTCCGTTGCCAGCTTCTCCCCCTTTAGCCTCTTTCTGAAGTAGCCAGGGTTCTCCCCGTACACCCTCTGCAGGTGGAGAGAGAGAAGCTGGGCCCAGTTTGGCCACGCCTGCTGGCACAGACGCCTTAACGCTGTATGACTGTATGACTGTGTGGGAGCCTGGACTGACAGATAGGCGAGAGCTACCCTCTGGCATCTCCAGGTGTTTTGTAGCAAACAGCCACTTAGTGCTTTGTCCTGGACTCCACTCAGCCTCAGGGTGGTAGGGAATAGGAAAGAAGAGCAGCCTCAGTACCAGGAGGCAGGATCAGAAAGAGGCTGAGTAGGAGCATTTCCTTTTCAGACTTGTCAAGACATTTCTGAAGCCCCCACCCCACGCTGTGAAGTTCCCCTGACCACCCTGCTGTCGCACCAACAGCAGGAAAGAAGCTGCTGTGGGCTGGGCCACAGAGCCCCTAAGGTGGAGCAGGGCAAGGCTCCTTGTCTACCTGCCTGCCTACCCTGGGAACCCCAGTAGCAGGGGCCCAAAGAACCTTCTAAGGGGACAGAACAGCTGGAGTTGGCATTGATGTGCGGAAGGCAGCCTCTCACCTCCCACTCCCACACTCCTTTGCCTCTAAACTTCTAGCCGCAGTTTGAGCTACCTGAGGAGGCAGCAGGGCAGGAGAGGCATGGGCCTGCCTCTGACTTGCCTTGTCCTTTGCAGGCTCCTGGGAAAAGGGTGGGATTCTTCCCAGGAAGGGGATGGGCACCTTTCTCAGCTTGTTCTATTCCCCACTCACATCCCCAGGCAAGGTTGGAAATGAAGAACTTTTTTAACCTTTTTTGTTTTTTAAAAATAAATCTGTAAAATCTACCTCTTCTGTGCCTTTATCCTCTAGGTATGCCCATCTCCAGCCCACAGTGACTCCTTTCTACCCCTAAAGAGTGGGTTCCAGGGTTGGGGAAGGGACTATTCTCCACACTTTGATGTGGCCATGGCATTTGATGGTGCTCCTAGCCCCAGTTCACAAGGGATAAGCAGAAACAGCCTCTGCTGGTCACACAGCTGTCCCTTGGGGTACCCCTCAGCTCTGAGCCACCCTACCAACCATTCTCACTTGGAAGACATGACTGTTGGGCAGCAGCATCTAGAACACCTGAGGCAGGACATAGACTCTCCCACCACCACCCACCCCTTGGTTGAAACTGCCTAATGTCCAGAACAGGAGCTCTGGTAGCATAGTGCCGAAGGCACTTGACTGCTAGCCAGAAGACTGGTGGTTCAAACCCACCAGCCACTCCTCGGAAGGAAGGTTAGGCAGTCTACTTCCGTAGTGATGCTGCCTCGGAAACCCAAGGAGGGGTCACTATGAGTCAGGTCTGACTCAAGGGCACGTAACAACAATGTCCAGAACAGCCCTGGGAAGGCTTTGGTTCACTTGGCACTTTTGCACCTTTTCTGGATGCCGAAATAGAGTCCTGGCCCTCAAGGAGGTTGCATACAAGCCTCGAATAGAGAGGGCATTCCAGACTGAGGCTCCATATGTGAAGGCATGAAAATGAACATGGCGGTGCAGATTAGTGGGACCTGCGCTGCTGAGTTACATGAGGTGTATGCAGTAGCAGCGGCTGCTCTGTTGACCAAGTGCCTCTTGTGAACCAAGCCTGGGGCTGGGAAGATGATGTGCCCTGCTTGTGTGGAACGTAAATACCCGGCAGCTATCAAAAAAAAATAAGAAAAAATAATAGACCAAACCCGTTGCTGTGAATGTCCTTCTGACTCAGTGACCCTGTAGGACAGGGTGGAACTACCACATCAGGTGGTGGTTGTGGTTAAGTGCCATCAAGTCGTTTCCGACTCATAGCGACCCCATGCACAGCAGAACGAAACACTACCCGATCCCGCGCCAGCCCCACAATCCCTGCTATACTTGAGCCCATCATCGCAGCCACCGTGTCAATCCATCTCGTTGAAGGCTTCCCCCTCTTTCGTCGACCCTCCACCCTACCAAGCGTGACATCCTTCTCCAGGGAATGGTCGCTTCTTACAACATGACCAAAATAGGTGAGACGAAGTCTGGCCAATCTTGCTTCAAGGAGCCTTCTGGCTTCACTTCCTCCAGGACAGATCTGTTAGTTCTTTTAGCAGTCCATGGTACTTTCAGCATTCTTCGCCAGCACCACAACTCAAAAGCATCAACTCTTCTTCCATCTTCCTTATTCATTGTCCAGCTCTCACATGCATACGAGGCGATTGGAAATAAGGCTTGTGTCAGGCGCACCTTAGTCCTCAAGGAGATATCCTTGCTCCTCAGCACTTGATACAGTTCCTTCGCAGTTGACTTTCCCAATGCTACACGTCGTCTAATATCCTGACCGCTGCTTCCGTTGGCATCGATTGTAGAACCAAGCAACGTGAATTCCTTGACAACCTCAATCTTCTCTCCATTGATTGTGATGCTGCTCATTGGTCCAGTTGTGAGGATTTTTGTTTTCTTTATATTGAGATGTAATCCATACTGCAGACTGTATTCTTCAACCTTCATCAGTAGGTGCCTCAAGTCATCCTCGCTTTCAGAAAGCAAAGTTGTATCATCTGCATATCTCAGGTTGTTAATGATTCTTCCTCCAATCCTGATACCACGTTTTTCTTCATATAGTCCAGCTTTTCGGATTATTTGCTCAGTATATAGATTGAATAAGTGTGGAGAAAGGATACAACCCTGACGCACTCACTTCTTGATTTTAAACCATGTAGTGTCCCCTTGTTCTGTTCGAATGACAGCCCCTCCTGGTCAAGGTACAGATTCCTCATGAGTACAATCAAGTGCTCAGGAATTCCCATTCTTCTCAATGTTACCCATAATTTGTCATGATCCACACAATCAAATGCCTTTGCATAGTCAATAAAACACAAGTAAACATCTTTCAGCCAAAGTCAGGCCAGGAGCTGATTGTGGAATCAGCATCAGGTTGGCAAGGCTGAAATTTTGATAGAAGCAGACTGCCACATCTTTCTCCCATGGAGTGGCCGGTGGGTTCAAACCACCATCTAGTTAGCAGCCAAGTGCTTTAACCACTGCACCACCAGAAAAAGAGGAGGCTACTTGGCCTCACTAACTTTTTCCCTTTTCTAGGTTGTGCCTATAAACCTAGAATGCCCAATAAAATGTTACCGTAAGACAGTGTCTCTTAAAAATAGGGTTATGAAGCCCAGGCCCAAGCCCCAGCCTATTAGAATCACTATGGATAGGGCCCAGGAGGATAAAGCACACTGCTTTTGAAAACTAGTATCTTGATAATTCCACTGCAGAAAGCCTGTTAAAATATAACTTAGAGGAGGAGGAATAAACAGCAAGAGAGTGGAGCCCAGGCTGGAAAGTCTGATGTGTCCAGAAGGTAAGGAATGGCAGCTGCTGCAAAACAAGAGGGTGAGGGACACTGAGCTGAGGGAGCAGTGGGAACAGAGAAGCCTGGGGTGAGCTGCCTGCATCACGTGAAGAGTGAGCCCCAGGGACCCCAAGGAAGGGGGAGGCCTGTATGTGCTGCCTTCCCTCTCCCCGTTGTGTGGAATGCAGGTGGTGCCCCTGCTCAGCTGCCGCCCCTCCTCAGCTGACCCTGTGTCTCTGGGCAAGTCTCTTCACTTTCTGGACCTTGATTTTCCCTTTGTGAGAAAACAAATGAGGATGCGGGGAGGGAGTAAGTACGGCCTTTCAAGAAAAGCAACTCCAGGCCTTACCTGAGTCTGTGTAGTAAGAGGGGGGGAGTCAGAACTACTCCAAAAAAGGATATGATGAATTTGGAGGTATTGACTTAGCTAAATAAATACTAGTCTGTCTTGCCTTTAGATGAAAGGCCCCAACCTATTGCAAGAATGCTTCCTTAAACATAACTTACATCTCCTCCTATTTATACACAGAATTCCTGAAACCTTTTTTGATCATGACCCAAAGTTTAAAAGAATTTTTTCCAACCTAGTATATGAACTTGTATAACCGAAACAAAAATTTTGTGAAACAGTACCCACCCTATGTACAATACATTCTGATATTTTCTTTTCAATCTTCTCCCATTTCATACTTTAAAAGTCTTGGTCACAATCCGCTTCACTGATTTCACAGCCCTCTAATCAGTCACAGACTTACAAAAATACTGCCCAAGTAAACTTCACAAAGTAGTTTTTATCTCATGTTACAAAGATCCATTATCATGTCTGGGCTTCCCACTGTCTTGAGTGATTAGTTTATGTACCCCATTTTACCAAGGAGGTAAAGGGCTCCAAAGGGTGAATTGAATTGTCCAAGGTCACAAGCTAGCAGCCAGTGCCCTTGAGAGCTGGCTGTGGTTCTACAGGATGGGGTTTTCCCTGGTGGCAAACACTGAGTTCTGATGTCTGCCATTCCTGGTAACTAGAAGACACAGGAGGGGCTCAAGGACCCCTGGCAGGGAAGAGGAATCAGTACAATAAACCTCAGAGCCTCCAACCAGAGCTGGGCTTACTCAGTTTCACCCTCTTCCAGGTGATTGGCCCCAAGGGGGCTCCCCAACCCCCATTCCCACCCTGATGCCAGCTTCCTTCATCAGGCCCCGCCCCAGGCAGGTCCCTCTTCCTGGGCAGACCTCTAGTGGGTGGGGTTCCTGAGGCAGAAGGGCTGGAGCTGCTTCACCTCAGTCACCAGGAACAGGTCATTTCTTCCCTGGAATCAGCTGAGAAGGCTTCTGGCAGGCTGTCCCACCAACTTCTCAACATGGTTCTCCAGGAGGGACTCCGGTGAGTGGGGCCATTGCCAGCAGGTGGGGAGGAGGGGACAGACAGCTAACAAGAGAAATCCAGTCTGGTGGCCAAAACAGTCATGCGAGGCACCAAGTCTACTGGCTGAGCCACAGGTCCTGGGAGAAGGTGACTCTCTAGCAGGGATATTGCCCAAGGGAACGCAAGATGGTCCATGGGACTGGACAGCAGGGTGGGGGGAGACTGCTTTTCAGGAGATTTTGTAGCCAGTGAAGAGCCAGGTAACTCCTCTTGCTTCCCCGAACTCTGATTCCCTCGGTAAGCCAGGGAGTAATAATAGCTTAGGGTGCATTCCCCATGTAACTGAGTGTTCTCTATTGCCACTGGGAGTGACTGTCCAGAATTGAACACTTGTTCCCACCACAAGTGGCTGATCTTTAATCCGTTCTTGAAGGCAAGGAGAGTGGGAGCAGGGCATTGGATGGGGCTTGAGACACCACGTTCTGCAAGTGGAGGGTAGGTGAAGAGGGGTTCATTTGAAAGTATCTGGCCAAGGAATAAAGAGGGGATGAATGGGTCAAGAAGGGTCCTGCATGGACTAGG